ATTGTGAGGTCTCTGAGTTGAATTAGTATCGTTTCAAAACAATTCCCGGTCCCTGCTAGCATCTGTGTTTACCGTCCCTGGAGGAGAGTTTCTCCAGTCCATACACAGCATCCTTCTTTCTGTGCAGAGTGAGCACAAAGAACCACCGAGAGGCGACACTTCAGTGGGGAGGAAGCGGTCATTGGTACAGCTCCCAAAGGCTTGGTCAATAATCGCCTGGCAGCTTTACCCGCCCGGATGCCCCCGGCCATGGATAAAGGTCATCAGAAGAAGTTGTGATGGTGCTCAGACGAGAAGGGGCATTTGCAAATGACTTGTAGACACACACATTCCAAGTGCATGCAATTATTTTCATCCCAGACAAAGGCTGGCTTTGTTCCTGTGACTCAGAAGGCTGGGGAAGTGAGCTGTGGTGATCTTCCTCCCTCCTACGGCTACAAAGATGACTGAGACATACCCAGCCTGGAAGCGTCCAGTTCTGCTCTGGTGCTTTTGTAACATCCTGGAGAGGAGGAAAAAGTGGAGACGGAGGGAGCTGGCAGCCATTCTGCAAACTTTTAAGGAGGACTTGCTAGGGGTCAGGCACCTGGACGTACAGGAAGAGCCTCCATGGGATCGGTGTGCAGCATGGAGAAGCACAGTTATCATGAGGCTTAGGGGAGGCTCTGCGTTGAGCAGAAGGCCTTGTGGAGGAGGAGACAGAGGATCTGGGCCTTGAAGGTTAAATAGGAGTTCAGCAGTCAGTAGACAGGGATGAATACAGTACAGAACCATCGGCTACTGTGACCCACTGGGAAAATGGATCAGTTTCTGTGGTTTGTAAGAGTTACTGTCTAGTTCGGAGGAGAGTGTGGAGGGAAGCAGAGAAGCCAGGACACAAGTACCAGTCAAGAGCGAGTGGAACTGGACTCTTGTTGACCACGAGGGATCGATCTTCTGCTGCAGACTCCCAAAACTCCCAGCTCTTTCAACTTAAAGCTTGTTCAATACTTTAAAGCCAATTTAAAACCAAGTTTGAGTTTGCTGTTAAAAAATTGCATTAATCAAAAAATGCAGTAAGTTTTGGGGCAGGCGGTTTAACAGATAGCAAAAGCTCGTTGGGCCCCAGGAGAAATGGGTTCCCCTTTCGGAGAATGCAGTATCAAGAAACAGAAAATAATCAGCTATGAAGGGAAGAACACAGAGAGGTGTTAGTGGCTCACAGAAAAAAAAAAGCTTTCAGTGAACTGAACTAGAGGGTGAATGTGAAGAGGCCCAGTGAGGGCGTTTGTGAGTATTGATGGCATCTGGACACAGACACCTTTGAAGGCCAGCTTCAAGGGGGTGGGGCTCCAATGAGGCCCTGATTCTTCGGTGTGGAGAGTGTTGTCTTTTTCAGGACTGCAGGCTAGCGAAGCTGCCGAGGCTACCCTCCTACTGAATGTGGGCAAAGAGAAACAAGTCAGCTCTGTTGAAAATAGACCCTACTTCATTCTGTGGCTGAAGGGGACTGGCCATTGTGGTTTACTGAAATAGCTTGCTTGTCTGGTTCATCCTTCTCAAGGCCAAGAGTAATTATGGAGGTTTGATGAGTTGCCCATCAAGAATGTGCAGGCTAGTCTGCCTGCATTACTCTCTTCTTCCCTGGGAGGGTGGCTCTCATGGACTCTGTCCTTAGGATCCCAACAACTTTCAGCTGTGGGTGGCCACTGAGAACACAAGAACTGAGAAGGAGGAAGAGAGAAACTGAGAGGTCCCATCATATTCCCTTCTTGCTTTAGGCCCAATGTTGGGTTCTCCATGACTATGGCTATCAAAGACTCCCTATTCATCCATGGTTCTAGAACAGTTTATGGAGTACATACCTCTGTCCTAGGGTGATTGTGGCCCCTACCAATGCTGATCCAGTCCTCTACATTGATGTTGTTCTTGTGACCTATCCCTCCACCACAGGTCCCTTCCATCTGATTGGTCTTCTTTTGGGACCTTGACTGAATTCAAGACTTAGGGAAATGTGACAGCAGAGATTCCAAGTTCTATATCTGGCAGCAGGTGGATGTCTTAGTCACTGTCCTGTTGCTGTCAAGGGACACGGTGGCCGAGGCAACTCTTATAAAAGAAAGCATTTAGCTGGGGCTTGCTTACAGTTTCAGCGGCTTAGCCCATTATTATTATGGTGGGGAGTGTGGAGGTAGACAGACAGACAGCAGCTGAGAGTTTTACGTCCGGGTCCAAAGGCAACAAGGAGAGAGACAGAGACACTAGGCCTGGCATGGGCGTTTGAAATCTCAAAGCCCACCCTGGTAACACACTTCCTTCAACAAGGACACAGCCCCTAACCCTTCTCAGACAGCTAAGATGCAAATATATGCGCCTATGGGCGTCATTTTCATTTAAGCCACCACGGTGGACAACAGACACGTTTTTCTTAAGTTGTTGGGTAGTTTGCACTGGTTTCAAACAGGAGGACTAGGAGGATGACTCCAGGATCAGGGCCAGACATAGGAGGCATGTTTAGAGGCAGGAAGACTCTAGAATCAAGGCTGACAAGCGTTAGTCATGACTCACTGAAAGCTTTATGCCGACTTTACCACCTTTCAGTATCTAGTGATTCGCAGATCTGCTACCAAAGAGGGATCTTGCCCTTTATTGACAGGGCTTGGAATAATGCCTCATCTATTACACATGTTTAGTATATATTTGTTCAATGAAATAATACCTTTTCGTTATGATGCTACCAGCGTTCAACATATATCCAATGTGTTTGCACCTATTCTGTATTGGGCTTAAGGATACAGGAATGGATACAGGAGAACAGCAGCAGAGATGCTTGTACCGTTGCCCACTAGTGCTCTCTTCTGCAATGCTCTTTCGGACCACTGTCAAGAGTCCAGTGCTTCTTCTTGACAAGCTCAGAACCATTCTCCATGACTTCCAGGAAAGTGTTATAGAAAATTACAGATTTGCTGGGCGTTGGCCAGCGGATATGTTAATGTAACTGTTGATTTCCCTTTCGATCTCTCCCATGACTCTCAGTCCTCTAAAGGGAAGCATTCATTCACCCTTTGCCAGTTAGCCTAGCAGGCTTCTTGACCCATACAGATGTTCAATTTAAAACGCACTGATATTATAATGGATACAGTTCCCTGGGTACTGGTCATATAAGCTTAAGGTCATCTTTAATGCTCTTGTCTGCATTTTTATGGCTTATATTAAGGTTATGACCAAGGTTGGTTGCTCCCTCTTGAAGGGTGAATGGGATTATAGGAAAAGTCAGGGGCCTGGGCAGCGTAGGGTAAGCAAGGTTGTTCCTCCTCTTCAAATAGAACCTCACACCCGGAAGCTTTGGTTGATGTCTGGGTACTGATGGGTGTGAATTGCTTGATTATCCCCATTTCCCAGAGCTTCTTGCCTCATCAGCCTCTGCCACAAAGATCTCAGGCAGGGGTCCCAGGGCTTATTATTCCTGCCGTCAGTACCCAGTGAGCTTGAACTTGAGCACCCCTGAGCTGAAGTAAAGGAACAGAAGGCACTGTTGCCTCCTTGGCTGTGGAAAGGGCAGCTCACCCCTGCGTCTCCTGATATGCTGGTGGTCAACAATGGGGGATTGTGTGAGAAGACCCGAGAGTACTAATTATAGTTATTTAGTTATGCTAATATCGGGTAAACACAGCTGCACACTACCTTACAGGGATACACCTCTCTACACTGACTTGAGACTATCCAGATCTTTAATGGTTTTGACTATAAAACTGAAATGTTCTGAAGTTTCCATGTCTATTTATTAGTATCTTATCAATGAAATGGCGTATTTATTTCCATAGATTTGGTGTTTAAATCCTTGCCAATGACTATATGTAGAGAAAACTAATGAGTAAATCCATCAACTGTGCTGAAGTTCTTAACTCCCCTCGCTTAAGATTTGATTGGTCATAATTAATAAATAAAAGAAAGCACATTTACATCTCCCCAGGCCGTATACAGCTCATTAGCGAATGGGGTTCAGGAAATGTGATCTTTACTCCGTCAGGATGAAGACACAGTTGAGTAAAATATCTGTGAGACTGATGAAACCGTGCAGCTGTTTCCTTGCCTGTTACAGCACTTCGACACAGATGGCCTCTGATTTACCATGCTTCTGCTCTGGTCCTTCGAGATAGTGCAAAAGCCATGTGTGCTCAGGAGAAACTCTACTTGGGCTCTGGACTTTGGCCTCTTCCCTGAGTCGCTACATGTTTTCCTCCTCTGTGGAGATGCTGGGCAGTGGGAGCAATTTCTACTTGTCCCTGCGATCACCAGACAGGGCTAGCAGTAAAGACCCTACTGTGTACTGCGTGGCTGAGCTAGGACGTTCTGCAAGTCAGAGTCTTTAAAAGTGCTTTTGACTTGGTGGGTTTATCTGGGATCCATCATAAGGCAAGGGACATCCATGCATGCCGCACACAGAGGTAATTTCCAGGTGTGCCCAACTTTTTGAAATTGTGACAGATGTCATTTACACACTCTGACATGCTTTGAGAACTGCTTAGTTAAGTCACTCCCCCTAAACTATAAAAAGTAAAAACAAACAAACAAACAAAAAACAAACCAAAAAACCCCTCTTAATTGCCTAAACAATTAAACAATTCAGCACTGAGCAGTATCCATAGTTATGCTGTGTGTGCAGCCTGTGGGCCACGGTTGGATAGAACTACAACAAAGGCATTAAATAATAAAACAGAAGCAGGGGCAGCAGTGACTTTTCTGGCTTAGATACTATTAAGTTGTCTTATCCCAGTCCCCCTTGATGTACCTTATCCCTACTCCATACTCCCCACGGAGGAAAACTGTCAGGGATCATGGACACATCCCGATTGGCCTCTGGGAGAGCTATTCAGTGTTCTGTGAGTGAAGGTTAATTCTGGGAAAGCCAGAGGCCCAGGTCCAAGGCTGTCTGTGCTTAAACCTTCACAGTGGAACTAACTTTTGCCGCCTACCAGAGTGCCGGGCCTTGCTTTGCAGGATGCGAAAATCACCCTTACCTGAGAGGTGGCCCCCGAGGCTTCAAACAGCGAGTCACATTCACCTTCGTGGTATGCTTCCTTACAGTTCCGGCAGAAGACGAACTGCAAGAGAATACCATGTGTCAGGAACATTTGGCTGCATTCTGCATTTTATCTCTCTGGCTTGAGTTACGGCTTCTGTGTCAAAATACTGTTTGCAAAGTGGAATCAACTTATATTTTGATGGAGCTGTCCACTGTTAGTGTTCTGTGCACATCACCGGGGTAACAAACATGAATCCTGCTGTCCCCTGCCCGATGGAGGAGGCAGTGATGAAGGGGACTTGGGAAGAGGCGCTCCTGGCGCCAGAACAATGACTTTGTTCCAGACTCATCTTCAATGTTTGTTCCAAGTTTGTTTTCTAAACACGATAGACTTACGTGGTCAGTGGACTTAGTTTTGTACTGAAACCCTGTTATAAAAAGAAGGGATGGCTGTTTAGGGCTGGTCTGTGTCCCTTTGTGTGTCCCCTTCATTCTCTTAGACTCAGAAGGGAAAGTTTTATCTTCCAGTATCTTAGAAAGAGGCTCCATCTGGACACGGAGCCTCTAACACGTGAGTGGGGTAAAAGGAGCCATTAGGATGGCTTTAACGTGTTAGTGTCTTTGTGTCCTATGTGAAGAGATCCGAACATGAACACACGGGCTGAGGAACGAGCCTGTGAGGATACAACGAGAACCATTTGCCTGCCAAGGAGAGAGGCCCCAGAAGCAACCACAAGCAGAGCAGATTTCTGTTGTTTACAGCTTCCAGCTGGCTATAGTTGGCTTCAGCCGTCTTAGGAAACAAACGTGGGAAACAAATATAGGTCTTTTGTTGGTGGGGATGCTGGGGATGAAACCAGGGCCTTGGGTAAGCGAATAAGCAAGTTACCACAGAGCCGCATCCCAGTCCTTGGACCAGGTCCTTTCACTGGGTGATGATGCTCCTGTTAACACTCAGTGACCACGGGGCAAAGACACCCAAGGACTCTGCTGCCCTTACCCTTCACGTCACAAAGAGGAAGCTGGAACCAGAAGTGCTAGCTGACCCAGTGCCAAGGCTCTGCGTTGGTCCTGTTACTGCCCCGAGTAGCCTGGGCCCTCAGAAGGCACATCATGTTTCCCCCTTGCTGCCCTGTCCGAGGCTGCTGCAGTGGCTGAGATTGGCTCCACGCTGTGTCTTACTGAGTCGTCATCCCGCCTGACACCTGGGACTAGACAAAAGCCACCAAATGCCTAGAATTCTCAGGAGACTTCCAGAGGCTTGGGAGTGCGCAAGCTTACGAGCCAGGAAATCAGCCAGTCGCTCGTCATGGCTTTGATTAAGGTAAGACGAATCTGAACCAAAAAGCTAGAGCAGCACAAATGGTACCGATAACTCCAACTCCAACTTGCTTTAAAAAAAGAGCATCAACTGTTTCTCTTGGCCTCATGAAAACTCCAGCCCAACATGCTTTGCCCTCATAGGACCTTCTCCATGCAGCAAGAATGCTCAGCTGTAGTTTGAATATCCTTCAACACAAGATGTTTGGGACCAGATTTAATTTAAAAGTGGCATTACTTTTCCAATTTCAGAAAGGTTGCATATATACACACATCCATAATCACACACATTAACACGTATACACATATGCATATATACATACACACATATCTATATATAGTCACATATTACATATATGCACACACATATACATATATGTATACATATGAGGATAGTGAAATATTTGGGTGATTGAACACAAATTGATGCATAAAATTTATTTAATAAATAAATTTATTAAATGCCTTACCCACACAGCCAGAAGGAAATTACATTCAACATTTTTAGTATGTCTGTTTCTTTTTAATTTTTAAAATTTTATGTGTTTGGGTATTTTGCTTGCATGTGTATCTGTGTACTACGTATGTGCCTGGTGCCTGTGGAAGCCAGAAGAGGGTGTCAGATCCCCTGGTAGTAGATTACAGGCAGTTGTGAGCTGCCATGTGGGTGCTGGAAACTGAATTCAGGTCCTCTGGAAGACGAGTCAGTGCTCTTAGCCATTGAGCCATCTCTCCAGCCCCATGTCTGTGTTTTGACTGTGTCTCATCACATGGGGTCAGGTGTGGGACTTTCTTCTGGGGACATGATAGAGATCAAAGGTTCAAATGTGAAGATGCTAGATTTGGGGTCTAGGATGTTCTCGTCGTACTTCTCAGAGAGACTGTCTGACCCCCAGAGTGATGGGATGCTAGCTTCACTTAGAAGCTTACGTTGGTGGGAAAGGGCATGCATCTGTCCCCACACAGATGGCCAGCACCGCCAGGCTCTGCTCCCTGATGATGTATTTGTCACCCTGGATGCAGTGAGGCAGTGTTGCCTCCTATGTTTCCCTTTCTTTTTAGAGCGAGGGCAGAAATCTTCTTTCTGCACAGGGGCTCAGTCAGCTCAGCCAGAAAGAGCGGGCTGTGACTCCAGCCGCCGCTTTGGAGGGGAACTAGTCTGAATCTCTTGGCGTGACAGGAAAAGCGTTTCACATCTTATTAGCCAGGGGATGAGATATAAAATCAGTTTCATGGTGCAGGAACACCCTGGAGGTTGATCAGTTTGTCAGAATAAATAGGCCTCTCTTGACACAAAGACATTGAATTCGCTGGTACTGTGGAAAAACGGCTGTAAAGAGAAAACCAAGAGGACACACACACACACAAACGAAAGCCACCATGCCATGTCCAGCAGGGAGAGGAGAAAATACTCTGTGAATATGCTGGCGGTGACATTAATTCATGTGTTAATTTGTTCTATTCCAAGGCCATGACTTCGCCGCAGCTGGATCATACAGTGGGCTCTTTCCAGTTAATGGCTTGAGTCTGTTCTATGTATATTGAGGAACTATCCAGAACAGTGTTCTCAACATGAGGGTCATGACCCCTTTGAGGGTCGAACAACCCTTCCACAGGAGTCACCAAAGACCATTGGGAAATAGATATTTACACTATAATTTATAACAGTAGGAAAATTACAGTCATGAAGTGGCAACGAGAATAGCTTTATGGATGGGGATTAGCACAACATGAGGAACCGTATCAAAGGGTCGCAGCATTGGGAAGGTTGAGGACCACTACTCTAGAAGACCTGATATGATCTCGAAGGCATTTGGGGGATTTTTAATCACATTATTCTAGACACTCAACAAGGGTTTGTGCAAACGCAAAGGAATTTGGTTTCAATACTACACACGGAGATACTGCAGGGTGCCACAAGAAACTCATATGCACAGGAATCGCTTAAAGAGTTGAGTAAGACACAGTGATCACTAACATCTAGAGGGTTCTATGAAATAATAACTCAAAGTCATTCCTGTGAGATCACAGACCCCCTAGCTGCCTCTGCCTGCACCACTCAAAACCAGGTCTCTTCCTGCAGGGGTATAAAATCCTGTATACAAATGGTTCTTATCTCTGCCAGTGTCTCAGCAGACCGTGCGGACACTTATATACACACAGAACTCTAAACCATGAGGATACTGAGACACACACAGAACTCAGTGATGGTGAGGTTTTCCCCTCTTTTTTAGTTAGCAGTGAGAAATATTTTATTCTTAAATATCTAAAAGGACTTCCTTTTTGAATTCAATAACAATAACCACAATTTATCTGAATGCTTTTTACATTCTCATTGAAACCAACTCATTATAACTGTTTCCTGCTTAACGAGATGCCATCCTTTATAGATCCATTTCCAGAGTGCTGGGACGCTGCTCTACCAAACCCAGCAACAGAACTCCTCAGGATGATATTTTGGACCAGCGTAAAAACTCTGCTGGTGCTGAAGCTTGCTGTGGAATAATCTTTTTGTACACTGTGAAGATTTGTCACTTGGACTGGTTTAATAGTTAGGCAGGATTTTCAGGGCAGAGAGTATGCTGGGATGAAGGGCAGAGCCATGAGGAGAAGCCATGGGATGCACAGTGAACGGGATGGGCAGTACATAGGTGAGGTAAAGGAGCCTAGAGTCAGCACATAGATGGGCAGAAATGGGCTAATTTAAGTTATAGGAGCTGGCTAAAAACAAGCCTAAGCTGTGGGCCAAGCTTTCTTAATCAATAAGAGTCTCCATGTGGTTATTTGGGAGCTGGCAGGCGGGACAGAAAAATCCACCTATGGAAACTGTTTCAGAAGGGAAAGCATTTGGGAGAAGACAAACCCTTACCCACAGTTCCACATGTGTTAATCATGGCTTCATAGCTGCCGGCTCCCGGAACATGTACACTGTTCTCCAGGCCTCTGAAGCAGAGGTCAGCCATGTGAAAGGAGGCAACTACCATTCATGTACAGTTCTCCCTTCCCATGTCAACTTCTCTCGAGAGGGATCTCACAAACATCAACAACTTCTATATCATTTTGATTTGTTTTTTAAAAGTGAAAATGTATAGTTTTCTTAAGACAAAGCCTCATACCTGTAGTACAGTTTGGGCTTGGATTCAGTACATAACCTAGACTGGTTCTACTTAAACTTTCCAAGTGCTGGGCTCACAGGCAAGTGTAACCCCACCTGATCTCAATGCCCTTTCTGAGTTATAGCTGTATAAGGGTTGGGGACTTAGCTCAGTGGTAGAGCACTCGCCTGACAAGAGAAAGACCCTCAGTGCTGAAACAAACAAACACACACACATACAAAAACCCCAAAATGCCAGTAGTGGAAGCACATGCTTTTAATCCCAACACTTTTTTTTTTTTGAGACAGGGTTTCTCTGTATGTAGCTTTGGAGCCTGTCCCGGAACTAGCTCTTGTAGACCAGGCTGGCCTCAAACTCACAGAGATCCACCTGCTTCTGCCTCCCGAGTGCTGGGATTAAAGGCGTGAGCCACCACTTCCCAGCTAATCCCAGCACTTGGGAGGGAGATGGAGGCAGGAAGATCTGTGAGTTCAAGGACAGCCTGGTCTACAGAGTGGGTTCAAGGGAAGCCAGGGCTACACAGAGAAACCTGTCTCAACCTCCGCTCCCCCAACACAAAGCTATAGAAGTAACCCATACTTTCAGTACCTGGTCTCTGAACCCTGTTCCATCATTAGCCTTCATTTGAGGGGATCAAATATGT